GGAGTCCGTGATAGTGATATTTTTCCAGAATATCGTTAACTCAACGATGAAGGATTCCCAATCATGGCATACCAACATGAGGCGGGTGCACTCGTCATATGGGTATGGGTCATGCCTGTCGGCAGGAGTGGCGTCCTCCAAGTAGCACTCGATCACTTGGTGCTGGAGGGTAAGAGGCAGCCTTTGAACATCGGACATGGTTTTATATCGTTAGAATTCTGTGGATTCGGCTGCTAGTGGTCGACGAAAACTTGGAATGACATCCAGTCAGGAATGTGGCTGGCATCAACGTGATGGGGATAACTCACAGCAAGTCGTGCTATTATCGCGTACTCTTCTTCTAAATGAAAAAGCTCAAGACGATAGCAGGCGTTCTTTTGTGGCCGGTTGGATGTATAGTGCGTCGCGGCGATAGGTTAGTTGAGGAATCAGGATTGCAGCTCGAAGTAGCGCGAGAGAAATAGCTTCCAATGGGTCGAGTTGATTGGATATATCCTTCCCAAAATTATTAGATTCGGGTGATTTTTGGACGAGAAAAACTTCAGCGATGTTGGTGCGTTGTTGATGTGGTTGAAGATGTGTTGATCATGAACGAGGTGTCTTCTACTGTTTGTTCATGCTTATCGTCAATATTCCCACGCCACTCGCCCTGTGTCGCTTGTGCCGTCCTACTATACTGCAGCAGCAGAATGACCGTACTTACGAATAGTATGTAGATAGACGATTTCGAAGAAGAATGCAATATAATAGAAAAAATTATCCACACGATATCTTCAGACTGCGGACTGCAATGCATACCACAGCGGGCAATCGACAATTCTAAAAGACTCGGATACCGTAGTCAAACCCAGGTCAACCCTGTGTCTGTTTTTTTTACTAATTATGCAGTTCCCTACTACTCAACAATCCCACTGGATTTTATGACAGAAACTGACTCAGAATCAAGGGTCAGAACACGCGTAGAACCGGCCAGTACTCTCACTCCCCCTAATAATAATTGGTGTGGGATAGGCCCTTTAACAAGTACAAATATTTGTCTCTGCTTGGTACTCCGTCGCGCCACATTCTGCCGCTGACACAATTGCCTCGTGTGCTGCTACCAAAATTTTCACTAGGACCTGAGGACTGCTTCCGAGTCCACAGACGTCCTGAGATCAATGTTTTCTTGATATAAAATAACAACAGAGGATTAAGTAGTGGATCTCATGTACGTCAGCTGCAACTGACCGAAAGGGGTATCTAGACTGTACCGCTGCACTGGGCACTGAGCCCGGACATTGGTTCTGTAAACAAGATTCGCTGCCGTCTCTCGTGACTCGAGGAATTTTTGGGATACTAATACATAATCCGAAAACTGGACCTTGTTTCCACCCATCGACAAGTTGTCGAGTCGTACGGAATGTTGTCGAGGAAGCAATTCACGCTGTATACGCACAAGGTCAGTGCCCACATCCCCCACTATGTATCTGTAATCGCCATAGCTCGCCTTCGATAGACAGGGGTCAATGGATGGAAGGTTGCTTTGCTACTCGAAGAGCTTGGTCTCTACGGAAAGACTGAGCTCAAATATCTCGAAGTCGATGATAACAAGAATGAAGTCAAAGCGTCCCCTCATATCGACTTGAACCCGAACGGACGTATTCCTACTTTGGTTGATCACTCGTGAGCAATCCATGCAATGGCTTTGGATGAGACATTGTAAAGCTGGGAGGCAACAGGAACAACGATTTTGTGATCTGGGAATCCTGCGCGATCCTCCTCTATCTTGTAGAGAAGTATGATAAAGGGGGTGGATTCACCGTGTCCGACCACAACGAGAAGGTATGCAGGCCTCGGCCTGGTTCAGCTTGCAGTCTGACGTTGAGCGCTCGATGCAGTATAAGCAGCTGCAGTGGTTATTCTTCCAGGCATCTGGTCAGGGGCCTTATTTTGGACAGGTGGGATATACTCCCTCTTGATTGTAGAGACGAGCCGACCGTGCCAGTAGATCTCGCATTTCCTTTTCGCCCATCCTGTTATGTGAGTCTCAACTGGCCATTCTCAAGTCGGGAATTCAATTCAGCGATGCTAATACCGGACCTATTACAGAGTGCCCACAGCCGTGCAGCGTTACCAGGATGAGATCAAACGGGTCATTGGCGTTTTGGAGTGCGTCATGAGCGAGCAGGAGTGGCTTGTAGCCGGAAAGTTTACCATCGTCGACATTGTGTGCCCCACAGCCTTCTTGACTCTGATAACGAGAACGCTGACTACATTATCTGAAAGGCGTTATTTCCGTGGCATGACGCGGCAATACAATACTACCTCCCGCCAGGGACTTACGACCTCGCGAAAGAGGCGCCGCATGTGAACGCTTGGTACAAGATGATGCTAGAACGTCCCTCCGTCAAGAGAGGGTGGGGACAGCGCGATGTATTTCTGCAGGAATCTCCGTTCAAGGAGGGACTTGCAGCCGCTCACCAGAGGGTAGCAGAAGCTGCGCATGAGAAGTAGTAGGAGCCACAAGCGTCTGCTTCAGTAGCGTTCGCGGTGCTCGCCATATTCAATCATGACTGACTACTAGTAAAACGGCGGAAATGACATAGTAGAGTCCCCTATGACCAAATTATCTGTCTGCACTACAACATTCGTGGTAGAGATTTTAGTGGGATAGCCCTGGCTGACTGCTAGCATATATTTGCATGGTTAATCATATGGACGGGGACATTGCCAGCTCCACGGGTTGTGTTGTCTAAGACTCTGCCCATTGATCAGAACATTGTCGTACTTATTGCCCAGTGCATCGGTACCACAACCTAACCTTGCTTCTGACTCTGACGATGTTGATAAAAAGAGTTAACGTCGGTAAGATACAGTTGGCGACCGCCGTCACCTCTTATTCCAATCATAGCTGTCATCCGAGAAGCACTTCACGCTATACACGTTCAAGGTAAGAGATGACTCCTTCGCATGGACACATATCGACCCGAAGGCTGTCATAGACAGGCGTCAACGGATGGAAAGTTACCTTGCTACCAGGAGCTCGGGCTCTACGACCAGACCGAGTTGAAGTTCCTTGAAGTCAACGCCGAGAGGAAGCAGTCTCCTCACATTGACTTAATCCCAATGGCCGTATACACACGTTAGTCGATCATCTGTAAGTCATGCACCCACTGGCCTTTATAGAAGGTCAAACCGGGATGACCGGTCAATATAAATAATGACTTTGTGATCTGGGAGTTGAACGCGACTCTGCTGCATCTGATAGAGAAATACGATAAGAGTGGGAAGTCACGTTAAGTGACGTCTGTTATAATATTATAGACCAAACCCGTTCCTCTGATGCCCGGAGCGGTCTCCTAGTATCGGCATTCACAGTGGCTGTTTTTCCAAGCTTCCGGTCAGGGGCCCTACTTCGGACTAGTGAGTCTACATATGATATATGTAATATAGAAGGCAAAGCTGACCACGGCACTAGGTCTCTCGTTTCTCTTCGTGCACCGTGTCATGTGAGTATCGAGGCATTGAAGGACATGGCTACGATGTTGATACTGCGATGCCTCAGGGTCCCCACCGTGGTGAAACACTACCAAGATGAAATCAAGTGCCTCATGGGTGTTCTCGAGTCTGCTATGAGCAAGCAGGAATCGCTCGTAGAAGGAAAGTTCGATATCGTGGACATCGTGAGCTTACATTCTCCCGTCACTACCTTTATCCAGAGGATTGATGAGGCCACTCGAGGCATGTTCGGATGGAATGGAATAGCCGCATGTCATTACCTCCCAGAAGGATCGTACGACAGTGCGAAGGAAGCGTCACATGCTGGAGCGACCTGCCGTCAGGAAAGTATGGGAAGAAGGGAGACGTCGGGTACAAGAATCTGGATTTTGCAAGTAGTTGCTGCTGCTCACCAGAGAATAGCGGATACGGCCACTCAGCAGGAGTAGGTGGGGAGGACTATGGGCAACATTGTATTAGTTGCTGAATGGCTTCCTACTCGGAAAATGACTTCGCACCTACATAGTTGCTTAGGTTCACAGATATCATTTCTGCTAATCCGATGTAAAGCGCCTTCGCTCGCAATGACAGAGCACCTGCAGTTTCCCAGAGCAGCTAACCTGGTTGACAAGCACGCTCATGTTTGGAAAGCCCTCTTTCAAGTGATAACTTGAGTGCGGGAGCTGGGCCTGTCCGGCGTATGACAACACGGTTCCTATGGGAGGTCCTGGCCCCCCGTCGGGATGAAGTGGCAGATGAGGCCGGAAGGATGTTCCCGGGTCCGCAGAACGTGATCTTCCAAGAGAATCTGTTCAGTCGAACAGGCGAGAATACCGCGAGTGACAGGGCTTACAGGAATCTGGTAAGCTTTGCTAAGTGTGTCCGTTTCGGAAACAACCAAAGAAAACTCACCATTGTGGACGGGATAAGTCTCCCAGACGGGGATGTCGAGCGCGTGCGACAGACCATGGCTAGCCTCGGATGGGGCGGGCACAATTTTGAAAGTGAGGAGAAACAAGGACAAGCAGTGTGTCGAGAGCACGGGATGTTAGTCGAAGAGTGTGGCGTTCTCTCGGGGTCGTGCGAGCCATATAGCGCTCTCGCATTCTGTCATATATCTACTCGACTTTACCTCTCATCTTCCTCGTGTAGAACTTCTCTTCATTACTGGTATCTGCTACATCCGCGGTATTATACGCTTCTGCCACTCAGCAGATTAATTGACGATCTCCAATGCTGTCAGTCGAAGTGATATGGGGCATAAGTAAATTAAAACACTGCAATAATGGGAAAACCAAAGGAGGAACAAAGATGATTTCCGCTGGCCCTACGAGTTGCCATTTATGGCACTTACATTGCCGAATCAGTCAATAGTTTCTCCTTCATGTCAAGGAAGACACGTCGCTGATCTTTCTATCCATATCTTCCTGGGGGTATATAAGATGGACGTGCTAAGCTACTCTTCGTGTTTCCTCTTCCTCCTTCCCCCCATCATAATAAGCCTTACTTATGCTCTCGTTGCCGTAAAGCTGCTGTTTGCTCTCCTAGTCTTCGTCTTCCAGGTATGTTCAAGAATCAAAGGAAGCCCTACCAAAAGATGAATATGAGCGATATGTGTCCCCTTACACAAGTCGAATATACTCGATTGCCGGCACAATGCTGACCTACGTATACTTTGATCCTGTAGGATACAGAAGGGCTTTCGGGGTCCTACCAGCGCCGCACGCTGTGCCGGTTTCCTCTGTTACGGCCCATCCGTGCTGAGTCTAGTCTTCTCGATACCCCTTCAGCTTTCTGCAAGTTCAGACGCCATCGTGCCTGTGACTGCGGCAACTCCGATATGGTGCGCGAACTGTCAGTTGTGTTTGACAGCCGCCCCGACTGTGATGTCATTCCCATCGTCCCATATTAAAGCAGCCTCGAAGGAGGTCAGTACCCAAGTTCTCGTCTTTTTCTCTGTTATAGCCATCGAACTCGATGCCAGACTTGTCCGACCAGTCGTACGTGGCTCCGCCGAGCCACCCGGCTGTCCAGGCGATCTCTCAGCCAGCGGCGAACGGAAGCACCCAAGTCAACGGGAACGCTCAAGGCAACGGCAATGCTCGTATTCTACGTGAAGACCCTCACGGGACAACCGTCATAAAGGTCGACAAGGTCGACACGCACCCGAGAGACCATGCGAAGGAGCCCTCGACGTCCGACAAACCTCTGCCGCCCCAACCCCCCCAGAAGCCGACAGAAACTACCGACCAGCCTTCCACCGTCCCAACGCAGCCCTCGTCCCAGTCCAATGAGCCGACGGTGATTGATACGACGCAGCCCCCGCCATATTCGGCTGCTGCAGAAGGAGTGCAATCGTCGAGGCCGGACGACGCATTTCCACCGGAGAATCCGCGTGCGCGAAAGGTGCTGAACGGGAAAGTGGTGGGCGAGGAGAAG